TGCACCGGCTATTATTTCACTGTCATAGAGCGTCCCACTGTTTACAAATTGAGGGGCAGCATGATGGTACGACGGTTGCGCACATCCTGACTTCGCATTCCCCACCATCGTAAAAAAAAACAATCATTCCCGTTCTATGTGCCATAATTTGTGTCACCCGTCCACGCACACCGACGCAGAACCTATCGACGTTTTGTGAAGGCGCGCCTATACTTTGTTTTTACTGGACGCAGTGATGCATACTGAATACGGAGGTGCTTAGACGGATACGTGCGGGGCGAAGCTTATGACGCCCCCCCCCCCCCCCCCCCATTCACCAAGCAAGCCAGTAGTTCTAGTTCCTGTTTCTGACGTCGTAATTCACCGACCCATATATTGGAAGGGCGGACACAAGAAAGAACTGTGTGTGTGGAAATCCGGAGTGGCCATGCGTATGACCAGGGTGACGTTGTTGGGTCACCACTAAGATCACCAGGCGAACAGACCCCCACAGTACATCATAAAGGTGTGGGCAACTTGCGTATACACCTTCGCCATCTTTAATGTAACGCTTGCTCAGTTACATCTTTGAAGGAACAAGCTCTTTGCGGACACGTTCTACGGATGCAAAACGACAAAACAGGTAGCTCCTCTGCTGTTCCTAAGGGCGTATGTTTATATCTTTTTCGACCTCACTCATTGGTTTTTTTTTTCTTTCTTGGGAAAAGCCCTTTCTCCACACTAGTTTTCCTGTGGCTGCTACAGAAGCGCGAGCAGCGTATAGTCTGTGTAGAGACTGTTTTGTACACAGGGGGGGGAGGGGGGAGGGGGAAAAGCGCTGGCGGGCTTCTCGCGGGGAGAGACATGCCGCAGCGGTCTCGCGCCCAGCAAACAGAGCGCGCGAACTCAGCGACGCATGGCCGCCCTGTTTCCCAGTAATGCGCGGTAAACACAGGGGCCCGCGTGCGAGCATTCGGGGTTGCGCAGCGCGGCGCCCGCCTTCGCTCGCAAACTCTGCGTGAGCGCTCGCTCGGCAATTTCTTACTTTGTTTCACTGGCGTTCAGTGTTTCTTTTTTTTTTTTTTTCGTATGGTCTCGGCCCCGGATCGAAACGGGCCCTGCCCTTTTTGCGAGAGGAAGCAAAACAAGCGGCAGAGCAGTATACGCGACGAGCATGCACGTATCGTAAATCAGCAGTGGCCGAAGCACACCGTCATCTTTACTCGCAGTTGTTCATGTGTGCGTGCGTCGGCCGCGCACTTGCCGCAGTGTGGCAGCGCTGCCGTCCAAACTCTTTTGTCTCATCTCCCGGCGGGACGTACGAGAAGCAGAGAACAAATATGAAGGGGTCCAGCGTGGTGGTCTTTGTCTCCGTGCGCAGTTTTGCGCAGCTAAGCGGAAAGCGTGGTTTGCGAACAAGTGTAAGAGAGAGAAAGAAGGAAAAGATAACGAACCAGTGGAAAGATCCTGCAAGACCGTACATGCTGAGAAGAGCCCGGAATGAGCGACACAGAATGGTTCACTTTGTAGCTCTCCGATTGCTCGGTTAAAAGAAAAGTAGCCTGCGGAATACAGAGCGTCCCGTCACCATTTAGGGCAGTAGCTGTGATGTTGGCCAATGGGCTTCATTTGGAGTTCCGTGCGCGAGTAGTGATCACGGGCTGGAGGAATTCACAGGCATCAACAAAAAAGCTTGTTCTTCCTCCTTCTCTGTCCTCCTTTTATTTTTTGTTGAGCCTACGATCTTTAGGTTGCTTGGCGATAGTGAACACGCACAAGTCCTTCATAACTGCTCATTGTATGAATCTGAACCATTTATTTTTTCACTGTTTTTTGGGGGCTTCTACCAACAGCATTAACATTCGCTCCTTGCAGTGTAAATGAAACAGTTTAAAAATATCTTGTTTTTGAATTATGTTCATTTGTAAAAAAGGCACGTATATTTGCATGTGAAGTTTATATCATAGTTTTTTTTGGCGATTTCCCACGGCTAAGCAACATTCATTTAAAAGAACAAAACTGTGCCCCGTCGTTTAATCAGTTTTTCTTTAATTTCTAAGAAAGAAAGTGGGTCTTCAGGATGGTTACAGAAATCGGCACCGCTAAGCATTGCTCTGCCGAGCTCTCTTGGCTAGGGCGGATTCAACAAGCGCAGATAGCTATGTTCACTGCTCTACTCATGTAAACGAGTGAATGTGTGAAGAAATTCTCCAGCTGATATTTATGTCAATTCAGAGAGACTGCTTGGCACAGAAACAAAAGAAGAAGAAAACTATGTTGTCCTATAGAAAGAGAGAGAGAGAACAGACTTATTTGTCCCAACTAAACTAAGGAAGTATTTCCTGCCCGCCAGCTAAGAATAATGTGCGGCGTTTTCCCTATCGCTCTATAACTTATTATCTAGCTGTTGTTAGACGAAACTTGGAGAACCAACAGACATTGTTGTCTTACTATATTCCTTAATTTGTGCCTATGGCTATCAAAAATAAAAATAATCTAGCCCGTGGTCATACCTAGTTATATATATATATATATATATATATATATATATATATATATATATATATATATATATATATATATATATATATATATATATATATCAAGCGAGTGTCTTTTGTGGATCCAGTGATAAATAGAAATTGGCTTGAGCGGAGGACAAACGTACGAAAACTTTTGATAATCCTACGTTTCGGCCGGCGTCCGGCCTTCGTCAGGGAAAACCCTGATGAAAGCTGGACCCCGGCCGAAACGTAGGATTATCAAAAGTTTTCGTACGTTTGTCTGCTCAAGCCATTATATATATATATATATATATATATATATATATTATATATATATATATATATATATATATATATATATATATATTATATATATATATATATATATATATATATATATATATATATATATATAAACCGTATAGAAAGGTGGACAACAGTATACAGGGGGAACGGGGTACGGGAACCACAGATGATGCCCATAGACTATAAAGTTTATTTGTGTACTTTGCAAACGTGTAAACACCTCTCTGAGCCCAATGTTTAGTAGGTACTCGACATACTCTCTGCGCGAAGAATGAACGATATAGTCAAGCCTGCTTTTGAACGAGCCCTTAAGGGCCTAGCACTGATTGAAAAGCGGTTTCGGCCACCGCCACCGGAAGCCTCGCCACGTGGGGAAACCCCAACATCGAACGCCCCGTGCACGCATCACGGTTTCCTTGTGTCTTGCTTTCTAGGTCCAATGATTTATCTCTCTTTTTTTATCTTTGTTGGGCTTCCGTCGTGCTTAATCTTCTCCCACTTTGAACGTCCGTGCAAAGTTGAGTGCATGAGCGCCGGTGCGATCACTCCGCTCCAAACACGGAAACTAGCGAGACTGTGTAGTGACGAGAACGATTAACCGCGTGCACCGAGCCAACTTCATTGCCTATAGACGAAGCGATGAACTGAGCGTGAGCAATAAATTTGCATGTGGGGTGGCGTAGTTCGCATAATTTTGTCAGCGAAACCTACCCAGTATAATTCAGGGAGGAAATCCCAGTTTGTTTTGGTTGTTGTTGTTTTATTCCAGCTAATCCTCTATTTCGCGTCTTATGTTAATAGAATTTACTTTAGAGAGCGAGATTTATTCTGGTGAGAACAAACCACATTTTCTAATTAGTGGTGGTGGTGAAATTTTACTACCAAAAAAAAGGGGGTCCTGAAAAACACTTGATCGGCTAGGCGCCAGGTGTAGAGGGCATCAACAATGTCTGGATGGTGAGGCCGAAGCACTCAACTCTGCCGCTTCGTGGGCCTCCTCGATAGCCCGCATTTGGTCTGCTAGTGAAGCACTTCTTAACAATTCGGCCCCGCTGTTCGTACTTCTTGGCGTGGGAGTCACTCGGTGTACAATCACATAGCATATATATGGTTCAAATCTACTCTATTTTTCTATATGAGTTCTTTGGCATTTTACATTTTCAGGTAACAGGTTAAACTAACACAACGCTTTCAAATTATACTTTATTCTGAAATAATGGGGAATGTACAGCCGGCTGAGCAAATTTCGTTTAACAAAACAATTGAAAGAAAATATTATGTTACGAAACCTTAATGAAAATAGTGGTTTCATTAGGTGTCATACCGTGAAGGAGCCTATATGAAGCTATAGTATTTCTGGAAGTGAGTAAAAAAGAAACACTATATTTTTGAGGAACAATTGACTCAGTTTTGCTGCTTTCTGGCAGCACTACGTTAATCTGAGATTCCATTTCATGCAGACGGTCATGCAAAAGCGCGATGAAGGTCTTCGTGAAGAATGTTTTCTTCATAAAAAAGAAATCATACTCATATGTTCTCTTTCCTTTGATACTGCGGAGCACGTTAGGAGTTCTTTAAGATGCGTGAAACAAAAGGATGGGGAGGTATGTAGAATATAGCTTCTGCTACAACTCGCTCCGGCTGCAAGGCGTGTTAAAAGAAGAATTTTCGTCGGTTATTTGCAGTGAGCGTGGCAAAACTCATTCATATTTCATATCTATCTCTTTTTTTATATTATACCACGAACGTAGCAAAAAGTTTCACAGACTCGAATTAATGGGAAAAAGTTCAAGCTGCAACTGCTTTCTCTTTCGACTGTGGTATATGCTAATTAAAAGCGGGTTGAATGTTTGTTTGCTTTTCGGTCCTACGGTGCGCCTGCAGTCGTATCGCGCAACTGGTGCTGTGTGGCCCCGCGCACAAAGAGCGGCGCGGGTGGCGCGTTCCGCGGGCCGCCGGCCGCGGCGCTGAGCGCGAGCCGCCCCTCCAGCAGGACCCGGCCACCGTGCGCGCAGTTGAGATCGAAAAGTAGGAGCCTGCGCCACGAACACCTGGCGCCAGACAGGCTCGTCATCCCGAAGGGCCGACAGCACTCGGCGGCGTGGGGCTGCTCCAGTCCACAAGTCAGCGCGCTCTCGAAACCGCGTGTCCCTTCCAGGGAGCGTTCCACTAACGGTCCCCCTTTGTCTCTCTTTTTTTTCCCTGCTGCAGGCCAGATCGGAGGGGACGGGGAGACCTCGGAAGACAAAGAAGCCGAAGCCGAAGCGGAGCAGGAGCGGCTCGAGGCGCTACGGGAAGCCGAGGAAAGACGAAAGGAGAAGCACCGGCGGATGGAGGAAGAACGTGAGAAGATGAGGCAGCAGATCAGAGACAAGGTGAGTCACAGTACTTCCCAGCGCCACCGCGGCATAGGGAAGCTGAGTCTTCACCTGCCGAGTGCCCAGCCAGTTCTTAGCCGTGTTCGCTCATCGTTTACGAAGTGTAGAGGCTCTCCAAAGCCACGGACACGTGGTAGGTGTTCTAGGGAAATCTGGGGAGCTGTCCATACTTACAGGGATCAACCTTCCTGCTTTGATACGTTTTCCACTCGCTGCGAAAGGTGCGCATGCTCCGTAGTGCAAGGCAACGTGCCTACATGGGCTTAGTTCATTTCTCTGTCAAAAAAAATGCATAGTAGCTTAGATTCACTCAACTTTGAAGGCAAGAAACAACATATATAGCTGTATTTTCGAAGAAATCCATGCCAAAGCTTTTGATAAGGGGTTGCTCTTCACTAAATGCAGATATTTTTACTAGGGTTGTGGGATATGCTAATTTGTTTTTTAATTCTGCATCGTTATTAGCATTGACTAATACGGTTGTCAGCGACAAGTCTCAGACCTCCACCCTTCCTCTAACTTCGAAACATATCTCACTATCAACTGCAGCATGGTCGTCTAAAATCTCCTAAACAGTAATCAGCTTCCAAGACGTTGGCACACGCTCCTTAGTGACGTACCATGAATTTCTTTCAAATTAAGAGATTTCGCGTCAACCTCTTGAATATATTGTAGTACTGCTCGCCACGAGTGTAGATCATAGTGTTCTTACCATGGAAATATCAGCTGCTCGAGCAAGGGCAGTAAAATTTTTCGCAAGAAGCTCGCAATGATACAACAAATCTGAGCAATAAACATATAAGGGAACTTCGTTTAAAAGTTTCAGCAACACAGAGCAACAAGTTCAGGAAAAAATGGTGGTTTGAAGGAATGGCAAATATTCGAACTAGGAATATCGCTAGACCAAGAGTACCGAGAAAGACGTGCCTCGAACAAAAACGTGTTTGCTTGTCGAAACGTATGTTTCAGCGATTTTCCCTCTTCGACATTTTTTTTTGTCGAATTGTGGAAACACTTAAAGAGAGCTCGTACTGTTATTTAATCTATAAACCATTTTCTAAATTTTCATCACCCTGTTCAACCAAAGTTCACATTCATTCATGGTCGACAAGTTCAAGAGTATTTATATGGAATAAATAAGCTTTTGTGTTTGGTGACGTCTACAAAAAACTTCGTTCACGAGATGAAGTCGTTTAGCTTTCGTTAAGAACATGTAGCCGACATGTGTAAACACTCATAAGTTGTCACAGTACAGGATGCACTGACACCTCCACTGCATGCAACAGCCCACAGTAATAGTAGGTCCCGTTATAAACAGTGGGTTCTGTTGTCAACAGTGCCAAAGCTTTCTCTCGCGAATTATCTGGGCTACGGGAATGTCCCTTTCACTAATAGTGCGTCCAGCAGCTACGTAGTCGACTAGGATGGATGGATGAGTAAATGATTGGTTCGTTGATTGTGTAGGTGGGTGGGTGAATGAATGGAGGTGGACGGATGAATTGATGGATGGAGAGTAAGCTGCATCGCAATACGAAGCTTAGATGGTAAGCCAAAAGTTTTTATTAAGTCAGTATAATCTCTCTCTTAGAATGCCTTGTTTTTTTTTTTGCTTGCCTGCAGCTTTGTTTACTGCGTGGGCTACAACGAAATAGAGACGATGTACCTCTGGTGTCTTGGCGCTTTATAACTAAACTATATTCACTTATACTTGGAGTGGTATAATGTCATCACTGTGAGATGCGTGCTTGCTACCAAGCAAACGGGCGGACACTTTTCATTTATATACGCATTAGAAACACGGATAGAAAGCTTTACTTCACTGCAAATTCCAAGATTCAAATTCGAGCATCCACAGAACAGAATGTATTCTCGACAATACGAGTTTGTGCAGCAAGCATTTGGAGTACCGTGCATCAGGAGCCTCTACAAGTGATCCACCGTTTAATGAATCGGGAGCAAGTCGACATCAGTTGCCGTCAGCTGATCCAGAAATGTTCCTCCAGAGTCGGAGAACCGCTTAGAACTGCGTTTATGTTAAATGCGCAAAAATCCAAGAACATGTACTCTGTCTATAACTGTAATGAGTGCGTCAGAGACAAGGTAAGAATAAAATCAGGCCAAGACCAATAATCATGGCTGTTACATTCATCGACTTCGACCTGCAGGATTGCACACATTAAAATTACATTGCCACCGGAAAAAAGTTATATTCACAACAGTATTTTCAGCTTTAAACAAATGGTGTTGTCTATATAATGACACGCTGCTCACCGTATAGGCCAAAGCATTGGCTGTATGGGCTACGTATTCAGTTGCCGTGGTCATCACATACAAAATCACGAACGTTCATTATAGGGCGTCCAATGACGGGCACATTAACGAGACCAACTACGGTGGCAACCATGCTTATAGTATACATTCTGCACATGGTTATGGTGAAATAAATGTTCCGTAAAGGCAGTCAGGAAGCTACTTAGTCTCGTCTGACGTCCTGCGTGATAGACATGGTGAGAGATGTGTGGCGCCAAAAATATCAATAATTTGGGGCAAAAAGCTCTTTGGGTAGATTTTATTTCTAAGATGAGTTTTAGCCAACCTTGATACTCGACAAATATAAAAGAAGGCCACTGACCAATAAACAAAAAAACTTACCAACTTTCAGAATTTAGACCTTTGCACATTTTTCGTTAACTTTTCTCTCTCTTTCTAGTTCTTTCGTACGGTGATTCTTGTTGACACCATGAATCTCGTCTTTAATTGAAATTTCCTCTTGGCAAGAAATTTGGCATGAAGTTTGTCCCTTGAAATGTGTCCTCCTTTTGATTGCTCTACATGCATTTACCAAATTTGATTGGTAGCCATCACCAGTTTTCGAGGGCAAAGAGCGTGCGAAAGCTCAAGGGGGATTTCAGCACCCTACGACATCAATGCTGCTGTGACGTGTTCGGTGTGGCGCACACCATCCTGAATGACGTTGCTCTAGTAGTGATGACGTCGGCGACCCGAAAATACTCGGATAGTCGACGCCTATAGACGCTCTCACTCTTCCACTGCCGGGCTAGACTGCGCGCAGTCTAGCCCGGCAGTGGTTTTACGTGCCTCATCTTCGTCATGCCGCTTTGAAGGATTTCACAAAATTAAAAAACGCAACCCACTAAAAAAAAGCACGCGGAATGAAAGAACGTGATTCGATGCGTGTTCGTCATCAGCATGTCAGGAAACCGTGGTGAGCTCCAGTTGTGTTGGAAGCGCCAAAAAGGCGAAAGAAGTGTGTTGTTTCATTTAGTGTGCGGTGTACGCCAACTCGACCACAAGCCATCACAGTGGGGTAGGATATAGGTAAATATTATCGCTAACAAGTACCTTCCAGGTAGCGCTATTATTAAATTTCAGTTCGTCCGTAGAAGTCTTTGCGCTAGCGTAATACTGCGGTAACCGTGTGGTGCCGGATACGGGGGGCCATTTGGTGGTGCAAAAAACTTGGCAAGCACAGAAATGTTAATTAAGAAATAATGGCGTATTCCATTTGTCCTCTGGTGTTCATTCGCTATGCCGATATATTATAGACTCCTTTGCGAATACCGCAGTGCCCCGCACGCTGAAATTCTCTAATATAGTTGACTGAGACACACATGCGAGCATGGCCCAAGCGCGCGTCTCTGAGCACCTCCTCGTTGCTGCTTGGAACGGCGTCCATCTTCGTATCGCGCTTTTGGATACGGTTGAAGCGGAAAGGATTAGCGACGTTAGGCATTGCACTGATTCCAAGGTCCGGATTGTCGTCTTCAACACTAGTCAACACTTTTGACGGTGACGATAGCGATGCTGGTGACAAGGCATGACTGAATGTGTGCGTCTCACGTCACTCCGTTTTGGTGAGGAGCGGTCAGCTTGGGTGCGTTCTGGAGAGCACCTTTTATAAAACAATCCTTAGCCACACATACCAATCATTATTTACTATTCCTCTGGATTGTGTCAAGACATGGTAAACAAAACGTGAACTACAGCTAACCTGCGCTGTTTTTTTTCTTTGCGGTACTTATTTATTTATTTATTTATTATACCTCAAAAACCCCAGGGAGGGGTGTTACATGAGGGGTGGGCAGTACAGGGTTTCTTCAATGTGCGCTTTGAAAAGAATGGGGCTGGAGTGGCGCACGACGTGGGACGGAAGGTCATTCCAATCCTTCGCTGTCTGAACGAAGAATGACCGAAGGTGAGCAGTTGTACGGGCATGCGCAGGGTAACTGGGTTGTTGTGGTTAGTGCGGGAAGATATGCGATGCGCGGGCATGATAACAGATGCGTGGGACAGTGAGTGAAAAAATTTATGAAAAAGAGCTAATCTAGCGACTTTGCGTCGCAGTTCAAGGCTGGGAAGATGGGCTTTAATCTTTAAGTTTGTAACGCTTGTGTGGCGCGAGTAATCGGAATATATAAACCTAGCTGCTCTATTTTGGACAGATTCTAATGTTTTGGATAGATTAGGTTGGTGGGGATCCCAGACGGCGCAAGCGTATTCAAGCTTCGGACGGACTAGTGTTTGATATGCTAAAAGTTTAACAGAAGGGGAGCAAGTCGTAAATTTCTTCTTAGGTAACCAAGGACTTTGTTTGCTTCGTTAGAAATGTTTGTTATGTGGGAGGACCAAGTAAGATCTGGCGTAATGTTTATGCCTAAATATTTGTAGGAATTCACCAGGGATATTTCGCAACCAGAAAAAAAGTATGAAGTAGCCGGGTGAGATTTCCTGCGATGAAAAAAGATGACGGAGGTTTTCCTAATATTCAAAGTCATGAGCCACTTTTTGCACCAGGTTTCTATAGTTATTAGATCATTTTGAAGGATCTGGGAGTCATTAGGGCAGTTAATAGGACGATAAATCACGCAATCGTCAGCGAATAGACGGATTTGGGACGATATATTGCTAGGTAGGTCGTTAACATAAATTAAAAATAGAAGGGGACCGAGAACCGTACCCTGAGGTACACCTGAAAG